TGCACTCTATACATTGGTGTGGAGTTTGGTTGAAATGACCTTATGGTTTTCTTATAAATTGACCTGAAAAATGGGGGGTCGGTTAACCTTCTCTCTAGGGCATATGAGGACGAAAAAATACAGGACGGTAGCTTTGAGGCGGAACGATTCAGACGGGGTAGGGTAAAGATAGAAAGCCCCTGACCAATGTTGTTTCCTACGTGGCCAAAAACAGGGCAATAGCCTTATGGATGGTCACGAAGGGACACGATGAAATCACGATTGGTTCTACGGCATATAAGTTAGAATTCAAACCGTGGTTGACAAAAGCACAACTAAGACAACAACGAGAGGAGGAGGACCTGCAATCTTTTTGGGTAGTGGCAGTCCAAGTTCCTCTGGACTCGCTATTTTACCTGGAAGAACAAATTTCTAAGGCTATCGGTCCTGTCGTTCAGTTAGAACCCACCCCACCGAGCCTTATAGGTTAAAGCCTTCGCTAATTAGTGTCAGATTCGACATCGACCCAGCGTCACGGTCAAACATGAAGGACAAGATGCGGGTTCTTACCACAGAAGGGGACGAGTTGGAGGTGAAAATTGCCTCGTTAGATACCCCTCGATGCCGTCAATGTCGTGTCTTTTTCCACACAGCTACAAAGTGCAGGCGAGGAGCAAGAGAAGGAAATAGTCAAGGCCAACAAGTCAACAGTCAACAGCAATAAGGAGGTCAAGTCCCCTCGCAGGGAGGACAACAAGGGGGCCCATTAGGCTGATCTCCCTCACAGCAGTCTCTTGCAAATGGCGTAGCTCAAGGTTTTGGAGGTTCTGTGCAATCACAAGGGTAATTGAACGCTGGGGTGTCTACGTCCCAGGGACTAAGCGAAGGTATGTTCTCTAATCAGCAGATGAACCCGATTGTCTCTCCGGCCCTGTCTCATCAACATCCCATCTATGGGATGCCAAATTGGACGGGCCATGCCTTTATGCCTTGGACTCATTAGCAAGGCAATGCAGCGATGATGCAGTATCACATATTCCAAGGAATTCCAAGAGAACCATCGGGTCTAGGCGATCAACAGCTCATGCCGGACTTTCGAGTCACTTCTACCTCGACGGCTACGATCCCTCCAGGGACTTCTCCGGCAGGTACCACAGGAGGCCCTCCCCGCCCATCAGCAGCAGTGGCATCAAGGAGCTCATCGGCGCGACCAAGATCCGCCACTCCAGGCAAGCAACGCCGACTTGATGTTGAAGGGAGCTTCGTGGCGATCGAACAACGAGACGAAGAAGCTTCAGAACCTTCTACCCCTCACTCTGATTCCTCGCAGGTAAGAGAAATTGGTACTCTCGGTACCAAAACCACACGAAGACGAGCCCCAACCACCTTGTCTCGTGGACAACTGTCGTTGGTTGAAAACAAAATTCTGCCACTCTTCTGTACTGGGTTACGGAACGCCTCGTGGGTAATTGCTTGGGCCACAGTGGATGGCGCTCCGACCCTGATCAGTGTCCCAGCGCCGGAGCAGCCTATGCCCTTCTCAATGGTTTCTCTAGTTCGTCCTGCTATTTTGGATCGATTCCTCTTTCGTTTGATCCCTGACCAGTCTATGACCCGAATCATAACGGATAGCCCTGCGGGTGGGGGCTGGCGTATAAAGTTTTTTGTTTCGATCATGGATGCCAGATTTGCCCTTGGTCAAATCGAGAACGTGAAGGTTTGATTCTTCTCCCGCTGACCTGGTTTGCGGAAGCCCGAAAACAGGAGCTAGCCGGCGTGGAAGGTCGATTGTTGAGGGAAAAGAAACTGAATTTTTCCTTTATGGTTCATTCGCTCACCTCCCCGTGGCTTCCATCTCAATCTTCTCATAACTCCCTCATCCATGACACTGGTCGAGGTTCTGGCCTAAATGGCTAAAATCAGCATCGCCACTTGGAATGTCAGAGGATTAGGGGAGTCAACGAATAGAAGGAAGAAAGAAAGATTGAAATCGTGGGTTTTCAATAAGAACATTCATATAGTTTGCCTACAAGAAACCAAACTGAGCGAAGATAAGATTAACGATCTTGGAAATTGGTGGGACGGTCCATAGCTGTGGGCTCCCGCCATGTGCACACGAGTTGGTTCAGCTATCCTTGTCCATAGGAGAGTCGATGCTGAGATCGTAGATTTTTACGCATATATATGGGGACGATGGGCATGCTCAAAATTTTCATGGATGACAATTTTGGGTAATTGCAACAGTGTATGCGCCAGTGGACGAAAGAGAGAAAACCAACTTCTTTTTGGACCTTTTGTCGATTATCCCTGATAGTGATAAATTAATTATCACAGGAGATTAGAATACATCGTTGGATGTTACCTCTGGCGTAAGTTATACCCGGGATAAATTCTCCCTTGCTCTTCTGATGGATGAGCTAGACCTGATTGACCCTTATAGACTCTCTCACCCTGACTCCAATGGATACACCTGGTTTTCATACTATCGAGAATCCACAAGTATTACTAAAAGACGCCTTGATTTATTTCTTACCTCATCAAATCTGTGGGAATCCGTTGAAGATATTTACGAAGTTCGACACTTAATGTCAGATCATATGCCTGTCATTTTGACTGTTCATACGGCAATCTCCACCCGTGGTAAAAACCTTTTTAGATTTAACACTCAGAATCTGAGTGATCCTGGTCTACTAGTGTGGATGAAGCAGTTCTGGAGGGACTGGGCAAGGAAACAGACGGACTTTCCCACCCTTGCAAAATGGTGGGATGCTGGAACAAATATGTTTTCCAATCTACTAAATGTAATCTCCTGGATTCTAGTTTATGAAAGAAATAAGAAATTGCAGGCAGTCCAGAAGCGTCTTTCATACGCGGAACGTAGAATGCTGAAACAACTGGTCTTAGAGAAAGTCTGGGGCAAGGAGAGGGTCAGGACATTGGCGGAATAGGATGACATGGAGTGTAAGCAGTCAGAAGTGTGGGCAGAAAGATTGAAAATCAAAGGCATAGTCGTACATGATCGTATGACCAAAGAATCCTTTCACAAACTCCGCCTCAGTCGATCGTCTATCCCAATGAAAGAATTGAAACACCCTTTTGATGAAGTGGCCCCGAAAGCTAAGGAACTAAAAGAATTATGTGATTATGCTGCTCTCTACTATAAGGATGTTTTGACTTCCCGCTCCCAAGGCGCTAATGTTAGATCGGATTTCCATCATGAATCTAACCATTGGGTCAATACTCATGCTCGCCTGCTGTGAAACCGTGTGTTGATTGAACGCGGGTTTTCCGTTCAGAAACTGAACAGAATGCACGCGCGTTCAATGAACGGGACCGAACATGGAGTTCAATTCTGCGCGCGAAAAAAAAAATAAAAAAAAATTAGAAAACGAAAAATAGAAAAAAAAAAAAAGAATTGAAATTAGTGAGCGAACACGATTTGACACCGCCATCTTTGGCGATTTTTCATCTTTTTTTTGCCTTAGTAAAATGACTCCAAAATTAAGAGGCATGTACCTCACATCATACAGAACTGATAAAAAAAAAATCAGAAAAGAAAAGTTATTTTTAGGCATTAAAATATATATATATTTTTAAAATAAAAAAATAATTGAACACCGTTCAATTTTGAGCGCGAATTTAAATCCGCATTCAAACGCACATTTGAACGTGAACGCGCGTTCACGGCGTTCAAACGGTTACACAGCTCGCCTGTCCACTGCGGGTAGGCTTGATCTAGAACGACCAGTAATGACGGTAGAAAAATTAGAAGCCTTGAAGGCTATGGCAGTTAGAAAGGCTCCTGGAGACGATGGTCTTCCTGGTGAAGTATATATATCTTTGTGGGAGGTTATTGGTGAACCCTTAGTGAAAATTTATAATGGTGTCCTTTCTGGTGGGCGATTATCAGGTAATATGAATAGGGGGATCATTTCGGTCCTTTTCAAGAAAGGAGATCGCTCTGAAATTCGGAACTGGCGTCCGATCTCAGTCCTTAATGTCTCTTATAAAATTCTTGCTAAGGTTATCGCGAGACGTCTAGGGCGCTATATGCCAGCACTAGTTCTGTCGGACCAAGCGGCCTTTATTAAAGGACGCTCAATCTTCGACAAGATTGTGACAACAATTGAAACATTGAAAATCGTTCAAAACGATAATCTTCATGTCGCAGTTCTACTGCTAGATCTGGAGAAAGCATATGACCAGGTGAATTGATCATATGTTCTGACGACACTACGGTGGATGGAGTTTGGTCCTAATTTCTGCTCATGGGTCACTGTTCTCTACACCCTTTTTACTGCGGCCGTGCTTGTCAATGGTAGACTGTCCGGGGAATTCTCTCTGACCAGATCCCTTCGTCAAGGGTGCCCTTTGCTCCGCTGATTTTCGTCATTCAGATGGAAGGTGTCCTGAATAACATCAGAGCTCATGTACAAATTATTGGTCTGGCTGCAGGACCGTCACCCTATAAGGTGAAGGCCTTGGCCGATGAACTGTTCGCTGTAGTACAGAGCTCCCCATCTTCAATGTCTGCGCTTAAAGCGTGTTTGAATTAATATGCTAATCTTTCTGAGGCCGCCATAAATTGGCATAAATCGGCTGATTTTTTGCCAACTGATTTTTCCCTGTGTGTGCAATTGGGTATGAAACGAATTAATAACGATGAATCGGAACGATTCCTGGGGGTTCAGATAGCTCTAAGGGACTGTTCCGATGCTCAGGTAAGCCTTCTATCCCAGAAAGTCTCCCAAAGACTGACACAGTGGGGAAGAGCTCCTCATCTTTCAATCTTTGGCCGTGCCCTGGTGGTAAACGGGGCTCTGTTTACCCTCCTATGGTTTGTAGGTAGAGTAAGGGGTCTCGGACCTCCACTGTATCCGCTGATTCGGAGAAAAGCAGCTAAGTTTATCTGGAAACCTTTTGCGGAAGAAGAGGAGTCTTTCATTTCAAAAGTTGTTTGGGAAATGCTATGCTTACCACGTAGCGAAGGGGGTTTGGGAATGTTAGATCCGTTAAGACAAAATATGGCGATGTTATGTATGTGGCTAATAAAAGCCAGTTTGAACCCCTCCCCTGAGCATTGGGTATATCTGGCAGAATATATCCTAGGCAAAGAATGGAATCTCAGTCGCCTGGAAGACGTATGGACTTGCCTGCTTCTTTATTCCTATCAGCGTCGGCACGTAAAATCCGTTTTTTGGTCCACAGTCATTGCAGCTTGGAGAAAGATCCGCCCAAATGTCTGGGTGGAACCCCGGACGAAAGCAGAAGTTTTCTTTCAGCCTATTTTCGAGAACCCCATGATAAGGGATTCCCAGGGGAATGGTTAAAGGCGGACTCTTCTCCCACCAGTTTTGGTCGGTCATGGATTGAGAAGGGGATTCTACGGACAAGGGACTTGTGGGAATCAGTGGGATGACCTTCGGGGTAATTGGATTCTGGACTCTGACTTGAGACTCAAGTTAGGTCGGGTATGGCACCTAACAGAGAGAAAGCAATTAGTAATTGATGCTATCCCGAATCATTGGAAGGAAATCATTGCACCAAGCGGTGTAGATCCTCTAGGGACATGGTTCTCTACTGTGTTTACAGAACCGCAACAGGTTTGGAAGTTATGTTCAATCAATCCAAATGGGGATAGAGACTTTCAGTGCTGGGATGTTGGGAGCTCTGGTGCCCTACAATTAGATGAGGAGAACCCGCCCCCACCACTTGGAGGGGAAATGCGACAGATTCGAGTATACGAATACCCAAGGCCTGAGGACCCCCCACTCTGCCAGCTGTTCAGTCAGGGCTGACCAATTATGCAAATGAAGCTGGACCCAGCTATGTGGAATGGACTATAAAAGGCCCGCGAGGTTCGAATGCTACCCTGGCAGAATACTCCCTGAAACTGGGATATACTGAGAGTGCTAGCTCGTGCCCGATGGGCTCAACTGTTGCCTTTGGAACTCTCAGTGATCGACTCTGCTCTCATTTCATGCTGGGAACAATTAAGTATGATTGCTAACCAAAGGCACGCCTCGCTACTATGGCTGGTCTCATTGGTCGCTACACCATCGGCAGTGTGGCTTGCAGAACGTGGACTGAAGTTGGATCTAACTTGTAAAAGGTGCCAGTGGGCATTTGAATCGACTGTTCATCTGTGGTGGGATTGCCCGGCCTCCAGTCGAATTTGGCAATGGTGCATCGACCACTGGAACCGGTTTTCGGGTACAGCCTTTGTATGGGACAAGGTGTGGGCCCTGTTAGGTGGACTCCCTGAAGGCATCTCCAGGACAAAAGGATGGGGCTATGTTGCCCAGACTACACGAGCAGTATGCTTCACAGTAATTTGGCAAAGCCGCAATGATCTAATCTTTGAGAACAAAGAATGGACAAACCATCAAATCCGCAGTACTTTTACTAGCCTGATGAGACAGGCGATCTTGGCGGAATGGCGTCGCAAAGTGCACCCTCAGCGTATGTCACAGAGCGGTTTTTCGCTGGTTTTTGGACACATGGGCCCTACGGGGCTCTCTGGTTCGAGTAGACGGCACACAACTAGTCTTTGATCCTTGGTTGCTCCAGGCATGATGATTAGTGTTTTCTACTGTACGGCCACCTGGAAATGTTTGCTGTCGAATGACGATTGTCGCTTATTTGTTAATCTTCAGATAGATAGAAGCTCAGGTTTGGTATAGAGTGCAACCTGCGGCGCTCGGTTGTGGATTTTGGCTTTTGGGGGCCACAGTAGGCAGGCAGTGGGTTTGTTAAGACGGAGGGAGCAGCTGTTGAGCTTTGGAATCCTAAGCTGGGAGGGGTAACCCATTAAGGGTATTAAGAGTTGCAGGTAAGTAGTATAGCTAGGTATGAGAGGGTAGTGCTGTAGGCTAGGTTAGGTTTCCGAGGTATCTTTTTTCCTTTGGTTTGTGTGGCCTTGTGGTCACGTTTGTTTCCCAGGGCTGGAGGCTTTTCTCTGCAGCGGTCTGAGATGCGGCCAATTCCTGCCTGAAATCTTTTTTCTCCAGTGCCTGCACCTAAAGCTGGGTAATGATCCGAGCGTTGTTTTTCCGGGTTGTTTGTGGAGGAATTCCCGGCCTCCTTTCTGGTTATAATGAAATGCAAAGTTGGTTTGGGAAAAAAAAAAAAAAGATTGGGCGCTTCCGGCTTTTGACATTTAGTCAAGGATGTCCAACAACCCGGGTCGGTTGTCACGGTCGTGGCCATGCAGTCCTCGGAATACTTATATATAGGCTGTCCCACTAGCTGTGAGTGCAATTGTGATTTCCTCCGCCCGCTGGAGGTCTGACGCGGTCAATCTTCCCGGTGTGAGAAGGACGCGTGTCTTCGCATATATGTGCAGTGGGTCACTGGGGTGAGACATCTTTTCCGTGAACCAGCTCTCTCTCTCTCTCTCTCTCTCTCTCTCTCTCTCTCTCT